TTTGGTATAACTTTGTTTTTTGGTGGTTATTGTTTGTGGGAGGGGAGTTTTCGGTCCCTTTAAAAAGAGGAAACAATCCCTCCCCCAGCAATCATCACCCAGATAAGCAGAGATTAACACCAAGATTACCACCAGACATACAATCAAGCAGTAAACGTATGCTAATCAAGGAACTACCAGAGGAGCAAAACAAAACCCAGACCCCCCAAGGCATGCCACAGTATATAAACAGAGAGGAAACCCCATCCCATTCTAGCACTGAAGATGTTACCTAGCAAGTAAACAACCAAGCTTAGGGAACCCCAAGGACTCCACACTTCAACCCTGAGCTACACATATTTGCTTCTATTGGTACCACATTATACATCTCTGATTTCTGAACCAATTTGCTATTAAATATTAAAGGTATGCAATGCTTGGGATTCAATTGGGAAAAAGTGCTTCAGAATACATGAGAGTGCAAGGGCAACTGATGTGCCTAGTTTCATTAAAGCAACTGAGTCTTTTTCTCTGATCATGTGTTTCTGGAAAGAAGTGACTGATGAATTGGACCCCAACACATTATGAAGCACCTCTTCCAAATGAATTTAAAGCACTGACACAACCTATTAAATACATATACAACTTCATTAAATATCATTAAGACTCCCAAACAAAGGGACATATCAGTACAAATAGTTGTTGAGCTTATTCTTATGGCTATAAAACAATGCCCAGCAGCTATATTCTCAGAAGGCAAAGATAGTGAATTACAGATTTAGTGTAATTTGTGTTAGTTTTCCATGAAATATGAAACTATTCCATTTAAAAAGATGAACTTTAGACACTAGGAGTACAGGATATTTCATATACACACATCAAATCCCCAAATCCAATTAGAATGATCTTTAATTTAGAAAAAAGAATATCTTTATTTGAAAAAGCTCATGGTAACGTGCATATGCATGTAAATGGACAATATGAATTCCCAGGGTGCCCAAAACTGAGATACACTTCACATCTAAGAAGTTTGTTTTAGGTTTGTTATTTTACAGTTTATTGTGGGTTTGATGTGGTGCGGAGAACACTCTACAATTAGATATTATTTCCCCGCCCCACCCCGCAAATGGGACATAGCTGCCCTGAATAATCATTTGAAGCGTTCCCCATGGAATAGCTGTTTCTTGTGCACTGGTACTAAATTTAATCAGAAAACAAGAGGAAGGGCAATTTTCTCCCACATTTGTTCCACAAGATTGGTGGACTCTGCTAGACAGTATGAGATGGAGAAACAATACTGCCCCTCTACCACACACACACACACACACACACATAAATCCTCCCTATTCTGCTTGTGAATGTTTTCTGTTATGAATATCATCTGGTTACCACCCAAACAATCAACCACCCCATTTTGTTACTCTGAATCATATCCAA